TTTTTTTTTTTTTTTTTTTTTTTTTTTTTTTTTTTTTTTTTTTTTTTTTTTTTTTTTTTTTTTTTTTTTTTTTTTTTTTTTTTTTTTTTTTTTTTTTTTTTTTTTTTTTTTTTTTTTTTTTTTTTTTTTTTTTTTTTTTTTTTTTTTTTTTTTTTTTTTTTTTTTTTTTTTTTTTTTTTTTTTTTTTTTTTTTTTTTTTTTTTTTTTTTTTTTTTTTTTTTTTTTTTTTTTTTTTTTTTTTTTTTTTTTTTTTTTTTTTTTTTTTTTTTTTTTTTTTTTTTTTTTTTTTTTTTTTTTTTTTTTTTTTTTTTTTTTTTTTTTTTTTTTTTTTTTTTTTTTTTTTTTTTTTTTTTTTTTTTTTTTTTTTTTTTTTTTTTTTTTTTTTTTTTTTTTTTTTTTTTTTTTTTTTTTTTTTTTTTTTTTTTTTTTTTTTTTTTTTTTTTTTTTTTTTTTTTTTTTTTTTTTTTTTTTTTTTTTTTTTTTTTTTTTTTTTTTTTTTTTTTTTTTTTTTTTTTTTTTTTTTTTTTTTTTTTTTTTTTTTTTTTTTTTTTTTTTTTTTTTTTTTTTTTTTTTTTTTTTTTTTTTTTTTTTTTTTTTTTTTTTTTTTTTTTTTTTTTTTTTTTTTTTTTTTTTTTTTTTTTTTTTTTTTTTTTTTTTTTTTTTTTTTTTTTTTTTTTTTTTTTTTTTTTTTTTTTTTTTTTTTTTTTTTTTTTTTTTTTTTTTTTTTTTTTTTTTTTTTTTTTTTTTTTTTTTTTTTTTTTTTTTTTTTTTTTTTTTTTTTTTTTTTTTTTTTTTTTTTTTTTTTTTTTTTTTTTTTTTTTTTTTTTTTTTTTTTTTTTTTTTTTTTTTTTTTTTTTTTTTTTTTTTTTTTTTTTTTTTTTTTTTTTTTTTTTTTTTTTTTTTTTTTTTTTTTTTTTTTTTTTTTTTTTTTTTTTTTTTTTTTTTTTTTTTTTTTTTTTTTTTTTTTTTTTTTTTTTTTTTTTTTTTTTTTTTTTTTTTTTTTTTTTTTTTTTTTTTTTTTTTTTTTTTTTTTTTTTTTTTTTTTTTTTTTTTTTTTTTTTTTTTTTTTTTTTTTTTTTTTTTTTTTTTTTTTTTTTTTTTTTTTTTTTTTTTTTTTTTTTTTTTTTTTTTTTTTTTTTTTTTTTTTTTTTTTTTTTTTTTTTTTTTTTTTTTTTTTTTTTTTTTTTTTTTTTTTTTTTTTTTTTTTTTTTTTTTTTTTTTTTTTTTTTTTTTTTTTTTTTTTTTTTTTTTTTTTTTTTTTTTTTTTTTTTTTTTTTTTTTTTTTTTTTTTTTTTTTTTTTTTTTTTTTTTTTTTTTTTTTTTTTTTTTTTTTTTTTTTTTTTTTTTTTTTTTTTTTTTTTTTTTTTTTTTTTTTTTTTTTTTTTTTTTTTTTTTTTTTTTTTTTTTTTTTTTTTTTTTTTTTTTTTTTTTTTTTTTTTTTTTTTTTTTTTTTTTTTTTTTTTTTTTTTTTTTTTTTTTTTTTTTTTTTTTTTTTTTTTTTTTTTTTTTTTTTTTTTTTTTTTTTTTTTTTTTTTTTTTTTTTTTTTTTTTTTTTTTTTTTTTTTTTTTTTTTTTTTTTTTTTTTTTTTTTTTTTTTTTTTTTTTTTTTTTTTTTTTTTTTTTTTTTTTTTTTTTTTTTTTTTTTTTTTTTTTTTTTTTTTTTTTTTTTTTTTTTTTTTTTTTTTTTTTTTTTTTTTTTTTTTTTTTTTTTTTTTTTTTTTTTTTTTTTTTTTTTTTTTTTTTTTTTTTTTTTTTTTTTTTTTTTTTTTTTTTTTTTTTTTTTTTTTTTTTTTTTTTTTTTTTTTTTTTTTTTTTTTTTTTTTTTTTTTTTTTTTTTTTTTTTTTTTTTTTTTTTTTTTTTTTTTTTTTTTTTTTTTTTTTTTTTTTTTTTTTTTTTTTTTTTTTTTTTTTTTTTTTTTTTTTTTTTTTTTTTTTTTTTTTTTTTTTTTTTTTTTTTTTTTTTTTTTTTTTTTTTTTTTTTTTTTTTTTTTTTTTTTTTTTTTTTTTTTTTTTTTTTTTTTTTTTTTTTTTTTTTTTTTTTTTTTTTTTTTTTTTTTTTTTTTTTTTTTTTTTTTTTTTTTTTTTTTTTTTTTTTTTTTTTTTTTTTTTTTTTTTTTTTTTTTTTTTTTTTTTTTTTTTTTTTTTTTTTTTTTTTTTTTTTTTTTTTTTTTTTTTTTTTTTTTTTTTTTTTTTTTTTTTTTTTTTTTTTTTTTTTTTTTTTTTTTTTTTTTTTTTTTTTTTTTTTTTTTTTTTTTTTTTTTTTTTTTTTTTTTTTTTTTTTTTTTTTTTTTTTTTTTTTTTTTTTTTTTTTTTTTTTTTTTTTTTTTTTTTTTTTTTTTTTTTTTTTTTTTTTTTTTTTTTTTTTTTTTTTTTTTTTTTTTTTTTTTTTTTTTTTTTTTTTTTTTTTTTTTTTTTTTTTTTTTTTTTTTTTTTTTTTTTTTTTTTTTTTTTTTTTTTTTTTTTTTTTTTTTTTTTTTTTTTTTTTTTTTTTTTTTTTTTTTTTTTTTTTTTTTTTTTTTTTTTTTTTTTTTTTTTTTTTTTTTTTTTTTTTTTTTTTTTTTTTTTTTTTTTTTTTTTTTTTTTTTTTTTTTTTTTTTTTTTTTTTTTTTTTTTTTTTTTTTTTTTTTTTTTTTTTTTTTTTTTTTTTTTTTTTTTTTTTTTTTTTTTTTTTTTTTTTTTTTTTTTTTTTTTTTTTTTTTTTTTTTTTTTTTTTTTTTTTTTTTTTTTTTTTTTTTTTTTTTTTTTTTTTTTTTTTTTTTTTTTTTTTTTTTTTTTTTTTTTTTTTTTTTTTTTTTTTTTTTTTTTTTTTTTTTTTTTTTTTTTTTTTTTTTTTTTTTTTTTTTTTTTTTTTTTTTTTTTTTTTTTTTTTTTTTTTTTTTTTTTTTTTTTTTTTTTTTTTTTTTTTTTTTTTTTTTTTTTTTTTTTTTTTTTTTTTTTTTTTTTTTTTTTTTTTTTTTTTTTTTTTTTTTTTTTTTTTTTTTTTTTTTTTTTTTTTTTTTTTTTTTTTTTTTTTTTTTTTTTTTTTTTTTTTTTTTTTTTTTTTTTTTTTTTTTTTTTTTTTTTTTTTTTTTTTTTTTTTTTTTTTTTTTTTTTTTTTTTTTTTTTTTTTTTTTTTTTTTTTTTTTTTTTTTTTTTTTTTTTTTTTTTTTTTTTTTTTTTTTTTTTTTTTTTTTTTTTTTTTTTTTTTTTTTTTTTTTTTTTTTTTTTTTTTTTTTTTTTTTTTTTTTTTTTTTTTTTTTTTTTTTTTTTTTTTTTTTTTTTTTTTTTTTTTTTTTTTTTTTTTTTTTTTTTTTTTTTTTTTTTTTTTTTTTTTTTTTTTTTTTTTTTTTTTTTTTTTTTTTTTTTTTTTTTTTTTTTTTTTTTTTTTTTTTTTTTTTTTTTTTTTTTTTTTTTTTTTTTTTTTTTTTTTTTTTTTTTTTTTTTTTTTTTTTTTTTTTTTTTTTTTTTTTTTTTTTTTTTTTTTTTTTTTTTTTTTTTTTTTTTTTTTTTTTTTTTTTTTTTTTTTTTTTTTTTTTTTTTTTTTTTTTTTTTTTTTTTTTTTTTTTTTTTTTTTTTTTTTTTTTTTTTTTTTTTTTTTTTTTTTTTTTTTTTTTTTTTTTTTTTTTTTTTTTTTTTTTTTTTTTTTTTTTTTTTTTTTTTTTTTTTTTTTTTTTTTTTTTTTTTTTTTTTTTTTTTTTTTTTGTATACATTCTCCTATTCTGAGAACACATGTTAACTTGTTATCATTTACATATTTTGATCATGTCTGCACAGTATATAATTGTGAGCTCTCAGGTTGAGGGCGATTATTCTCTGGCACTGCAAGCTGCAGTGGTTGTATGTTCTGTGAGTGAATAAACACCTCTTTGTGTTCCTAATGACTGGTTGCTGTTTGTCTACGCAACAATATTATCAGTCAATAAGATTGTACTTAAATACCAAATGATCATAATTAAATTTTTCCTAGTTTTAGCAGTTCAAATGAAATCAAATCCAGAATGGTGACATTTCTGTAAAACAAAATTAGTACCAAAACTCGCCCACTATAGTGCTTTTAGAGTTGCTAACAATGAAAAAATAGTTGCCTTTGCATACGCATACATGTTGCATTCAAGTTCTGGGTATGAAAGTGGCCACAGCTGTTGAACTGTTGTGGAATCATTGAAAATTTATCAAATTTATTTATTTTATCTATTTTTATACATCAAATTTGGCAATGTCTCAAAGGCAATATATGCCATCCCTACAACAAATAACAAAAACATATAAAAACTCATGAAATAGTAAATATTTTTTGGAATAAAGCATTTTTTTTAGAAATGGGAGAAATTGAAGAATAGAATATCTTCAATTTGTGAAATCATTGAAAATTGGTTACCTGTTTTATGAAAATTGCAATGCTGCAGCTGCACTATGAGCTGTTGTCATTGACTCTTCGTGTTCTCAGAAGAATGACCACACAATGTGAGAAAACTCATCGTCGACCACATTGAACTTGTAGTTCAATGGGTCAAGGATACAAACCTAACACTTCACAAGTTATTGAAGATGCAAGTGAAGATTGGAACAAAACATTACTGAAAAAAATGGCTATTGATAACATTGAATTGCTTTTATGCTTGTTTCATATATATTTGCTTATTGAAAATAAAAATTTAAAAAGAATTATGATAGTTTTATGATCAGAATTAAAATTACATTCTTTGTAGTTGAAATGTCTAATTTTGCTCTTAAACTCCAGAAATTTTTCCAATTGGTGATGAATATTTTTTTGCAGTAAAGAATTTAGTTCATAAGCATGGCTGTATATTTACAAAACAGAAAAATTTGTTAGAAGCTATCACTGCTAATGCAATATTAACTCTAATTTCCACTTGTCACTAGCAATTTGTTCTATATAAACTAGGCTTAAATATTATGAAATTAACGTGATATTGATCTTTTTTATTACAATTTTTAATTTTATAATTATCATGAGTTTTATTCTATTTATTAATAAATTAAAACTTACTATTATTTAGATGGTGCCCTCTACAGGAAAACGCTACCTAGTTGCAGTTGATGTTCGTAATCCAATGGATCATAATAGAATAGTGATTGGTGGAGTTAATTTATCACCATCTGATGCATCTGCTCTTTTAATAATGGCATTGGTTAGGGCAGAAGGCCAGAATGTTGCAGCTGTTGCTTTTTCTACAAAAGGGATGGCAAATATTGACATTAACAATAAAATGACTCTTAGTGATATTTCTTGTCGTATGAGAGAGGTAATTAAAAATATTTTTAAATATAAATTTTAATTATTTCTATATTTTTATCTTTATTAATGCTTCATGCTTTTCAAATCATTCTTATTTGACTTTAAAAAAAAAAAGCAGAAATTCTAAAATCAATAATTTTCAATATGTTCAATTTATACCTTCAATTTTTCAGCATTTGTTCTATATTGTAAATTAATGCTTTTAATCTGTTAAAGAATCACCTCAGATTCATCATGCAGTATAATTGATATGACTAAGTTCTAATTCTAATTGAAATTGAAATATATACAGTAACACCCTACTTAACACGGGGATATGTTCCTACATGACAAAGCACTAAATGAAACTGCATTAAACAAGGTCATTTTAACACAGTAAATAGAGAAAGGGGAACATGCGACCAAAAATAAGAATTGAGAATTCTTATATACCTCTAGCTATACCTTCTTCCACACTCTGTTTATGTATTTATCAGTTAATTCTTGCCAAGCAAAATCAATATTGCCTATGGCATCCATAATGTTATATTTTTTCCAAAATTGAACCAAACAAATATAGATTTAAGGAAAGTACAACGCTATGACAAATTGCCACCTTTTGGTGATTGGTTTGTGTTTGGGAATAATCATATTATATACGAATCAATGAAATGCCACAGTAATTTGAATCAGCATAAATTTGTTTTTTTAGGTTTTGAGCAGACTGCATTATATTGGATTAGTGTTAAATGAGGTCTTATTATATATATATATATATGCTCATTTCACTGAATACAATTAACATCTTATATGAATATACAATTAAACCCATTAATGCAAAATTGAAGGGACTCAAATATTGGCACTTTATCTTAATAAGTATACACAAAAAATTAACATTACACTAATCAAGGAGTCTGGCTTTATTAATATAGATTACCTTAGCTTTTCTTCACTTATCCTGGTTCTCAAAGTGCAAAAAGTACTCTTTACCTACCATTTGACTGCCTGTTGCTCAGTTACGGCAACTGGAATTGTGTATGCTCCATATTTTTGGGCTGCTTGTCCTCCTTGTTTTTAACTGTCACACATTGATGGTGAGCAAATAGTAACTACAGTAATACCTCAGGATACGAACACCCCAGCATACGAAATTTTCAGGATACAACATGAAATTCGAATATATTTTTGCTCCATGATACAAACAAAAACTCACCATACAACATTACATTCGTTTGCAGCACCATTTTATATTCACTTCTGTTCATTGGTCTCAGTCCATGTGTTTGTTTTGTTGTGGAAGGATCTCGCTTGATAAAGGAAATCTCGAGGTATTATCAGAAAGTGACTGATTTTATTGAAAAGAAGCATCCCGAAAAGGTTCACACTGGCCGTATTGCCGCTCGGAGTAATGACATTTGCCTGTCATTTTAGAAACATTTTAAAAAGTAGGCAAAGCCAAACCTCTTTGAATAGATATTTTACCAAGCGACCTCTATCGAATGAAAGTGCTGGTGGAAGTGAAGGAAAGAAAGCAAAAAGCAGTGAATACAAATTTTAAAATATATATATATAAAACAACTAATTTTTTAATCTTTTCTAAGTTATTTCTAAGTTATTGTTACATTATGTTATGAAAGTTAAGTTTTAGTATCATTTTCCTTCTCCCTCTCTTCTGCCATCAGTTTACACCTCCACCGTTGTCTATCCTCAAAGGTAAAGTGCAAATAAAACTACATTTTTTTTTTATCAATTATTATTCTATTATGGTTATTTATACATCTACAACTACAAAATGCATTTTTTAGTGTTTTCCTTACTATAGTTATTTATTTATTTATTTATTTTTTTCAATATACTACTTAGCTTTAATTTGAGTGTGTTTTTCGTGTTGGAACGAATTATTTGGTTTTGCATGTAATCATATGGGAAAAAATGATTCACCTTACGACATTTTCATGATACGATCTCAGTTTCGGAACGGATTAATTTTGTATTTTGAGGTACCACTGTATATAAATTAGGCTGCTTTTGAGGTGCTTACACAACATCTTGATGGAATCAAGACATGTAATTATTATTGACTTTATGACCTGTGTTAGATCAGGCTTGGGCTTCTTTCATGTGAGCTGTATATTATTTTGCATTCTCCAAATTAGTAAATAGCTTAGGAGGGTATCTGAAGAAACTGGTCACTTCTGTAAGGTAATAAAATCTCATCGGATAGAATCTCCTTGGAGGATGAATAAATATAGGCTTGATGGATCAAAGAACAATATGCAGAAATTTTATATCTAAATAGGTCCCAAGAATGGAAATGTATGTAGGATGGGACAACAGCTGGTTTCCTATATACTGCCATCTTAACTACATCCTTCAACCATGATATTAGTACAGTGGGTGATTGGTTAACGAATATAATCCATTTCAAGACCATGTTCACTACCCGAATTGTTCGTTAACCAATTATCAATTTACCACAGATTTTTATGGGAATTTGATTAATTTTTTCTGGAGATCCCAAAAAATAAAAAATTATATACTTTCTTACTTCGTTTTTTATATGTAATAATAAAAATACATATATACACAGTCTTGCATTTTATCAGTCATGTTTTTTCCATTTTAATTAATTAATCAATTAAAATGAAGTAATTAATAGTGTTGTTGTTGTAGAGATCCCCAAGCCTATTAATTTCACTCTGGTTTGTATGCCATTTGGATGACTGTTATTCTGTTATCCTTCCACTTCTTCAAAAGATTTTTAATAGCAGATGTTGGTCGTGCTCCAAAGCCCTGCCTTTTTTCCCCATGATGCTATGAGACATTTTTGCTAGGTAAATCAAAAATCTTCTAATCTGAATACCGGTATTCTGATAAAATCGCACTTACTAAACCTTTATTGTCTGGTACTTGTAAACTATTCGTAAAAACAAACATTTTCGGCCTCAGACGAGGTCTTCTTCAGGTTGCTAGGTAAGCTACGTGGGCATGAAGCAGCTGCAAACTACACAACATTTTCTGGCGTAAAAGTGCTGCATCATGGGAGATTAGTGATAGTGACTAGTGTTGCCACCAGGCTGGTTATTAAATTCATGGTCAGGATTAATTATAAATGATGTTGATTCTGTGTTCAGAAGCTAAAAGCTCTCTTAATTGTGTCAGTGTGAAATCCCTCTTGTTCTTTTTGTAGTAGCCTGCATGACTTGGATTTCACAGATGTGGATTGGCTATAGAAAAAGATTTTATTATAACCTATACTTGTAATCAGTCAGTTTTCGTTGGAAACAGCTTGGAAGAAATATGCTTACTAGTTAAGCCTAAGTAGTTGGGCTTAACTAGTCAAAAACTAGTTATACTTTATACACTAGCCAAAAATATTTATATACAACATTTATACCATTTTCTTTTCAGTACTGAACATATTATTCATGTAATTTACTTACTTTGATAAAATTCTATTATTTCTTTTTTGATGCTTGACAACATGTTCATGCATTCATCCATTTTCCCCACTCTCTCTTGCTAGCATGACTGCTCTATCTGTTGAATTCTGTCAACAGCAAGCGTATGCTTGTATCACTGCACTAGCAAAGAAATAACTGTGCGGGTGCAAAGAAATGGGTAGACCCTTTGATGTCGTTGGGTGTGCTAGTTTGCAGTGGCTTTTAGATAACTGAAAACGTGGATAAAATGGACAGCCATGGTTATTTTAGATTAAAAAATTATAAATATTAAAGATTTATATTGTATCTTTATGCCTCTTTTTATACCTTAGTGAATTTAATCATATATAAGAACAACATTTTTTTACATATCATTTATTATATATCTAATATACAGTAGTTTTAAGAATAAAAATATGTATTATTATAGTTACATTTTAATATGAATGATTTGTCTCATGTTGAAGCTAAATGACAAAAAAGTAACAGAAACAAATCATTTTGTAATACATGTTATCATTTTAAACTTTCTTTTATGAATTACAGTGAAAGAAAAATAGTGTGTTTATTTCTGGATTTACGTCGGATAATTAGGGCTCTACTGTATTTAATTGTAAAATTTAACAGTTTAAGTTATAAAACAAGATATATTATGCTAATTTATTTTTAATATTCCATTTAAGTACCCTTTGACGTAAGGAATTATGCAACATTTTTTTAATTCTTTTTTTCCTAAGCGGTATGAGTATAGGGCACCTTTTGTATAATCATCACAGGTTTGATCAAACCTGTAAGATAGCAGCCAAATGATGGTGCCTAAAATTTCTGAGTCAACATCTGAAAAATTCTTGGGAATCCAGACTAGGCTCAAAAATGCATTCCCAGATAAAGGAATATTTCAATCTTTTGAGTTGTTCAGCTGTCAATAATACAAGCATAAAAATTCAATCCTTATATGTAGATGATGGGTTAAATGCATTTTTGATCAGTGTAAATATTGATTTTGTTTTGTCTTATAAAAAAATTGTTGGGCTGCCTGCAATTTGAAAAAATTGTAGACCTATAAATTCCCACTGTTGTCTGTCTGTCTTTCTTTAATCTTGAAAACAGTATTAGATAGATGAATTCTGAGACCAGACAGGAGGCCCCTATTAACTATGTATGAACTTCAGATGCAAACCAGAAGTCATGTGATTTCAATTCAAAACTTTCCCCTGAAAGCAGTTAATAGATGATTGGCACAACTCTATTGTTAATGGAAAAGTATGATATTCAGGGGCAAGACACTACTAATTTGAAGTGGAGAACCTATACTTTAATTGAAATAAACTAAAAATATAATTAAAAATTGTAGCCCAACATTGTGATGATGTCACAATAAATCACTTGTTTCTTATAAAATACTTTTTGCAGTTAACTATTCAGGGATAAATTATCAGCCAGTAAAATAAATAATTTGATAAACAATTTATGCAAAGCAAATTTAATTTCTCTGTACTAATATGATGAATTTATCAATAAAAAAAATTACAGGTAATTAATTATTGAGAAAAGCAGGATGATGATAATTTTTCAATAAATTAATTTAGCTCATATTAAAAATTTTACACAAACCTGCCTTTCTTAATTTTGCCAATGTTTCTTTTGTACAGTACATTCATTTTTCCTTTTTTTTTCCTTTTCCCTTGATTTTTGTTTTCTCATTCTTTTTTGCCTGAAGATGGTGGCTGTAAGCTATCGAAAGTATTAGCAAGTATATCTTAATTATAAATTGTTATTGTAATGCCGCAACACTGAAGTGTCAATTATTTTATTATTTTCTTATGTCTTGTGATTTTGTTTTGCATTTTTACTTTTCTAACTGTTATATATAGTAACAGAGGAAAAGTATGGCGATCAGTCAAAAAATGACTCTTAAGATTTTTTTACATTTTTGGGCTCAGGACACCTTGAAACATTGAGAGCTGCAAAAAAGTTTGGGGGTTTTTTCAGTGTGTGTGGGGGAGGACATGATTTTATTCACCCTCTTAGAACCTTAATAATTTCTGTGCTTTTTGTTGAAAATTTGTAAAATTTTACGGGGAGGTTTGTTTATTAGGGGAATTGATGGTATTAAATTTTGGTGATTAAAGGTTGAGGAGGTGGGAGATAAAGGGGGCTGTGTGTATCTCCAGTAGGGTCGGACTTAGTGATGATTTTACTCATTATTAGCATGTACAATTTTTTATAAAACCCATCCCTGCCCTCAAAATCAAGCTTTTTGTCATTTTATAATAATTAAAAAATATAAAAAGTTTTTAATAAAATATGATAACAATGGCACCACCAAATTTTGCTGGATATTTTTAAATTGTAGAAGGAAATTTGAATTATTTAAAAGGGTATTACTTTAAAACTTCTTACTGAAACATTATTTTGACGTTCATAGTTTACATCTTCATTCCTTCCTATTTAAAACTATTCATAAACTGGAATAAAAATATTAGAAGACAATCAGACAGCATTCATAAATTCCAGCCCAAAATGATTTAGACAAACATTTTTGGTCTTCTTTCATCTCTTCCTAATTCAATGTTTTCTTAAAGAAAACATTTCTTTAAGAACTATTTCTTTTACTATTGCTGGAAATATAAAAAACAAAATTTTAAAAATTATTTATTTATCTTTAAGAAAATTTATTTGAAAAACAAATCAGAATCAATTGTACTTCATTTTCAGGATGTAATATAATCAGATATTGTATTTTCAGTAAAATAAGGAAACATAGGATTATTAGAATATTTTGTTCTTGTAAATATTAATTAAGGCTTATTGTATTGAATATTTCATTTTGTAAATTGGAAAGAAAGATAAAATAAAGCAGATAATTGTATTTAATTATTGAATGTTGAGTGTTTACAAATCAAGTGTATAACTTACATTGTTACACAGTGTGTTTCAGGAATAGATTTTCATATAAAGAGAAGGAAAATAAATTATAACAACATGGGTTCAGAAATGTTTTGTGTCAGTATTAAGCTATCTAGTAATGCCCAATGCATTCATTTGCTGCAATAAAATCTGAGACTCTTGCAAACATATAATGTGATGTAGTAACCATATCTTGACAGAATGATATTAAACTACGTTTAAACCTACTGGTCAAAATTCTCTTTGAGCAAATTATGGCAACTTGTCAGACAATACATGCTATGTCAGAGAGTTTGGAGTGTGTTAGGGCTCAATGAGACAATGAGCTGAGACTTTTATTCAGGCAGGAGGTTGCCATTCTGAATACTTCATCTGAGATAATGCAAAGAGTGTGTTTAATTAACTAAAATCCAAAACAAAGTATTTCCAGATCCATGTTGTTATAACTTATTTTTTTTCCATATGTACAAGGAATCCATTCATGAAGTTTTGTCCCATATCTTTGAAATCCAAACAAAAACAAAAAATTTTGCCAAGTAAAAATTTATGACAATTTAGATGAAGATTAAAATTTTTCTTAGCAGCTTTTCTTTGGTAAAAGATAAGCACAAGCTTGTGCTTATCTTTTACCAAAGAATTTCAGCAATCACCTTGAAATTTTGCACACTATCTAAGAAAACAATTTTCTTTCGAACAAGTTATTCAGAATTACTTCAGGTGTTTGGGGGCAGAAAAATCAATTCCCAAAAATCGGCAACTCTGATTCCTGTATATGTAGTCAGTCAGTGCCTTTTTTACTTGGCGGGGAGTCACTGTTCTGACTCCTGATATCCTGTATATTTTATTGACTCTTTTTTAATGTAATTTATTTACTTTTAATCTAATTGAAGTTTGAATGTTTTTAGAGTGTTATTGCATTTTTAATATATACATTTTTTATTTTAATTTTTTGAAATTTTTAAATGTAATATAGAGTTGTACATTACATAAATTAATAATAAATAATCAATAATCAGTTTTCTGGTATTATTTAATTTTTAAATAACACTAAATAAGTACATTATTTATTCATTTTTACATTTTTTTGATTAAATTTATTTTAAGTTTATCCTATAATGTAGTTTTTATGTAAACTGTATATTCTATTGTAGTAAATTCTATTTATAAATGCTATCATTTTGATAAGAAAAAAAAGCATATATCATATTATAATATTAATCAATTTTTTTTTTCTTAAGACTCCAATGGGCCCAGTGAATATGGCTGCTCCTTTACAGTGGGCTCAAGAAAGAAAACGTTACTTTGATATTATTATAGTATGCACTGATAATCAGACACAACCTGGAGATGTACATCCTGCTGAAGCATTGAAAGAATATAGGAAAGCCTTCAATCTCCCACAGACTAGGTAAAAATTATATTTTTAAAGTAAGCTTTGTGAATAGTTGATAACAATGATTAAATTTCTTAATTATATTATAGGTTTGTTATTTGTGCAATGTCTAGCCAAGGTTTCTCATTAGCTCCACCTGATGAACCTGGTATGTTAGATATTGCAGGATTTAATGTGAAAACTCTTCAAGTTATTCAAGATTTTGCTCGAGGAATATTTTAATGTGTCATATGGCTGAAGGAGATATTGAACTTGCCTCAATCTTTAACAGGGAGTCATGACACTTCTGGAAATTATGCACATTTAAAATGGTTGATAGCTTTTTAATTTTTCCAATTTTGACTGATAACCATTTGAATTAAATTTAGGGCACATAACACCTAAACAAAAAAAAAGGAAAGATAAACAAAAGAGAGATTGTGCTCTATCTAAGTACAGAAAGACTGTTGAGTGACCTATTTACCAATATATTATTAACTCTCCTGCACACTTCAGCAGAAATTCAGACAAATAATTGTTTAAACTGAGTGGTTCACTTATATAGTGCTGATATGATATTTAAATGGAAGACTATCTGTCCAATTTCACTGCCCTCCAAGACAGCACAGAGCTGTGTCCGGATTCCAGAATCATCATCCTGCCTAATTGCTTTTCAGATTGACTGCTCGTGTAAAAAAAGAAACTAATTATCTTAAAAATTATGTAAGGATTGCCTAATGTCTAATTGTTTAAATCAGTAAATATTATATAATTAATTGAGAAAGTATAGTTGTTAAGGTAGACTGCTTTGGGGCATTATCAGCAATTTTCATGTACTTTTATGAACCACATCGCAAATGTCTTTCTCTGTTGAAATGTTACTTGGAAACAAGATAGTTCCCTGATTATGGTGCTGGGAGTTTTGTTTTTTATATTAGATACATGTTCTTCTTCCTAAAAAGAAATTATTTTTAAATTTATATAAATATTTTCCTTAATCATATAAACTTTATAAAATTATTATTTTGATACAATGCTTAAAGAGCAAATTTTATATTATGTTCTTAAATGTAAAGAAATACATCTTGCTAACATAAACTAGGCAAATGAAAATGTATGTTTCATCTGCTTATTTTTATGACGAAAATTACACAGTAAAAACAGTGTTAATATTTGAAGTATTGTATGTAACTGTTTTTATATAATCAAATTTATCAGATTATTATTATTATTATTATTATTACTTTTTTTTTTGTAGCATTGTAATTAAATGTAGGAGTATAAGAAAAATTAATTCAAAATATTTTTGTTAGTTGACTATATTTCTATACTTTTGATATTCAGTTTTATATATAAAAGAATTTTTATGACTATTCAAACTAAATCTAGTTTTAGTTTTCAATAGCTTAGTCATTTGTGATTTACTTTAATATTGAAAATATGTTTGAATTTTAAAATTGCTTTATCTATTCAAATTGTTACTTTTTATTTGGATGAAAGACCAATATGAATATTCTCAAGTAACACTTCATCAAAGATCGATAGTTGATGCAATCGAGAGATGTTGGTTCAGGATTATCATCAGTAAGTCTTTCTGCAGACTCTAATGGTGTTGGTTTTAAATGTTTATATTTATGTCTATTTTCTATCATTCAGTGTATAAAGTTAGTCTATTTCCTTAATCTAATCATCCGGATGGCTGTTTTAGATGTTGCTGTTTGAACGAATCGTTTGCATACTAAATTTAACTGTTAAACAACAAGCCGTGGTAAAATTATGATGCCACTAACTTTTGTTTCCGTTAGCTGTTGAGTGGATATATTCCAGGTTAAAATGTTTATTTAACACGATTGCAATTACATTCGGCATTAGAAATGCCTTTGATCGTGGAATTACATTGGTTCCTGAAGTTTTTAACTCTATTTTTTAAGGTTAACAGTGTAGACAATGAATTATTAGTTATGTCTATATGTGACTCTAAAACAAAAAAATTTGATTTGAATGTCCCAAAAGAGAATGTGGGCATTTTATATAATAAATGATGTCAATGCCTTGTTTGGAAGGAGAGCTTTGTTATCTCCTCAGGGACACACTCTAATATTGAAATTAGAATTCTGAAGTGTTGTTTCCATTGTTTTTAGCTTTGTGTAATGTTTGTGGTGTATATTTTAGAATGTGGAATTGTGTTGTGGTACTGACATATTTTACATATAAATGTTATTCATTGTTGAAGTGATCCTTATATTGTTTAATCTTTCTTCATAATGATTATTTTACTTAATTAGATTATAGTTCAAGCACATTTTTGTATTGCACTGAAGTAGATCAATATATATATATATATATAAATATGTATACAATATATATCTATACAAACATATACATAAATACATGTAATCTTATGTGTGGCATTTGGTAATTGAAGTGATAATCCAAATTTGCTTTTACTCTCTTATAGAAAAAGTATTTATTCTCAGGGTTATTGGGAACATTTGTAATTTTTATCAGTATATGGAAGGAGATATTTAAATATTTTAATTATATTTATCTTCCCAATTATCATTACCCAGTTTTTTCAGTGCAGTACTCATTTATATTCAATATAATAAATAATATTTTATTATATAAGCTACTGATTAAGAAATATAAGTAGTTTTTGGTAAAATTTCATTTTTAAATAGAATATTTTGAACATATTGTAAATTTTTATTAGATTTCTCAATGTGAGTATAAAATCAGTTAGTAAATAATTAGGTAAATGGTCTTTAATTAATCATATAATTATTAATTAGAAAATTTTGTTCAGAAATTTTAAAATAAAACATGATATCTTCAGTTCCTAAAATTCTTAGTATAAAAATAACTGTCTAGGTAGAAATTGTCACTTGCAACCTTTTAGAGCAGCAAAATCTTTTAATAACTTAACATTTTCAGTCATACATAATGACCATTCTGTGGTTTACAAACTTTAAATTAAATGATTTAGAATGCAAAATTTTTTCTTGTGTTCTAAATTGCTTGATTGAAAATTTGTAAACCTGAAAACAGTTATTATATATGACTGAAAATGTTAGTTATTGAAAGTTTTTGCTGCTCTAAAATGTTGTGAGTGACTTAGCTAAAATTCTTATTTTAAATATATTTTTTTTTCTTTACAACAATAGAAAAATTTATAAATTTTATAGATTAGTTTCCTTTATTTAACTGTTTAAAAAAGTTACTACTATTGTTATAAAGTTGAAGAGAGAAAAATTACTTAGTTCATAAAATTTTTTCATTTATAAATTCTAAATTTTTAAAAAATTAGAATTAAATGATCTATCATTAGATGTAATTACTCTATGCCCACAGATGTTACACTGTTTTATGATTTCATTTATTATTTTAAGTGCAGTATGTTTACAGTAATAATTTCTTTTGATAATACAAAATAGAAATTTATAAAATAACTATGAATTTATTTGGTAATCTTCCATTCAAAAGCATTTTTCATTCTTCCAATTTGCTTATTATACAAATTTATAAAGTATTTTGTATTGATATTATAATATGTTGTTTATATATATTATACTTGTTTCATACCTTATAATAATTATTTGCTATGATTGTTAAGATTTATTATTATTAATAAATCTTAACTAACAGCCATACTTTTTTAATCTTTTTATAATTTTATCTTGCCATTTCCTTCTGAAACTGAGAAATTATTAACTCAAAGTTTTAAAAATTAATTTTAATCTATTCATTTATAGCTATTTAAAAATTATAAAATTTTTTATTTCATTTTAAAGAAAAATTTATCTAGAAAATAGATTGTGTTATTAAATACTGTTTCTATGTTTCACTCATACAAGTAAATTACTAAATATCAATCTTTTATGATTTAGATCAAATACTTTTATTAAACACTTAAATATTTTTAGAGTCATTATTCTGTCTTTCAAAACCTTTTTAAATTTTGAATGAATTTATTTAAAAGTTAAAAAGAAATTTTCAATGATGGAATGGCAGTTCTTGGAATGTTTAAATATTTAATTAAAATATTTTGATCTGTAAGATTGACATTTAATATTATATTTATGTATCTAAAAACCTTATATGTTAAGTGCAAATGATATATAAGTAATGTATTTACTTGTAAGCATTTAGTACAAATGCAACTCTGAATGAGGCAGTTGGGACCTTATCAGAACTGTAGATCATGTCCACAGGAGTAAAAGAAGTCAAAAGAATCAATGGTCTACATTTGACCCTTTGTGAGATGTAGCCCCCAAAATCAATCTATCTAAAATTTTGAAGGTCCTCAAAAATTGGAATGAAATTTAAAAGTGAAAAAATCAAATTATTTTTCAAAGCAATGCTAAAATTCAACCATTTTCCATGTTATTATAAACTGCTAAAAGCTCATAAAATGCAAGAAACACCATTGCACCAACTACTTCTGGGGTTCAATTGGAGTCACACTGTATGCTCTGTTAAGCCGATTGCATGTTTAACAAGGCTAAATAAAATTTGGGGGCTATATTTTATGAAGGGTCACCTTGTGCAGACCATCAGTTCTTTCAACATTTTTTGCTACTATGGGCAAGATCTATAGCTTTGATAAGGTCACAATTGCCTCATTTAAAGCTGCATTTGAACCAACATTTAGTTTCTAAATGGGAATTTAAATATAATAGATAATTAATATTGTAGTTCAAATTTCCTAAACCCAAACTACACATACCATATGACTTTTAATAATTGCTTAGACTAAAATAAAAGTCTATAATATTTGATTCATATTAAAATTGCTTTTGTTTGATAAGCATAGCATATGGCATTTTGAATGGTGATTGCCTAAATGGATATTAGCAAAATATACAGAATAAACATACTGTACATAATCTGTATGTGAAAAAATTTGCATAGAATGATAACATAAAAGTATTTAATTCTTCTATGCTACTTTTAGAAAAAAGTTATTCACTGTTAGAAAATCGTTTGCTTTATGCAATTAATTTTTACTGTGATTTTTATTGCAGTGTTTATTTAACAAGTTGCAAAAAATTCTGACCTTTAATTGTTATCTCTGCAATTTGTTTGTCAAAGATATTAAAGTAATGTCAGTATGTGATTATTCAAAATGCTGGTGAAGTTACTGTGAAAATTAAAATACTTGAGTTTGCCATTGTCATCAGATATAACTAGTTTCAATATCTGATTGTAAAATGCATAATTGTGACTATATTTGTGCCATTCTTTGTGTATGTATAGCTGTGATACAGAAACAAGGTAGTATCATCTCTTGGTATGGGAATTGTTAATTTATTAATCTGTTTTAATACCCTGCCAATGTACTAATACAAATATCACTATCCTAAACAAATAGTGTATGTACTATTGACCAGAAATTGTCAAATTATAATTAAGCAGTAAGGGCTTTTTCGTTTTGTGATGGTAGTTGAATTTTATTCTAGGTGATTTTTAAAAAAGTAGAAAAATAAGAGATGTTTCTACTTTTGTTAAAAAAAAACTTTATAGTGAAAATTTTAGCATAATTTTTTTTAACTTACAAAATATATATTATNTTTTTTTCTTAATAAATATTATCAAGACTCGAATATTGTACAAAATAAAATCATAGAAAAAACTTTTTTAAACAATTCTATATATTATATATATATATATATAAAAACATTTTCACTTAATTAAAAAAATAAACATAGTTGAATATTCTCACTTCATGAACGCGATAATGTATTTGTGAGTGTAGTACCCAGTGCCCAACATCATCACATTTTGTGCCTCGGTAAAAGAAAAAGTTATTTAAGAAACAATCGCCTTAAAAGGATTTGTACTGCTTGGTATGTTATGCAAAATACTTGAATACAATGGTTAGAAAAGATTGTAACTCATCAGTTCTGGAATATGATATTTGCTAAAAGAAAAAAATAAATAAATAAAAAGCTTTAACAGTTATTCTCTGAATTGAAATTTGCTTCGTTCAGAGATTACTTTGTAATAAACACTGTTCACTTGTATCATAAAACATCAATCAAGATATGATTGTATTACTTTGTGATAACTTAAGAAATAGGTGCAAATGAAAATATGTGAACTGATAACCTGTAGCATGATTTATTAATTTTTTTTAGGTTGTATTTTATGTTTTTGAGTTTTAAGAATTGGTAGAATTCAACAACAGAAAAGAGTATCGTGTCTTATGTATGTTATCAATGTATTATATAATGCTGTTGAATTTACCAATTTTCTTATAACACCTGTTTTCCGATCATGTAATAAGATTTTTATACAGGATACTAAAACTGCAATGCATGTAGCAGGTTTATTGAATGAAATAAAGAGCTTAGTATGCAAATGAATGATTATGTATAGCTTACAATTATTACAACTATTATTATTATTATTCACAAAAATAATTAGAATTTTTAAACTTGAATGAACAAATGTTTTTAGTCTTCTTTTTTGTCCTGTGGCAGATCTTTAATGTATTAATTACTAAGGACATTAAAAAATTTATAATTTTAAAATTTTGTTTTACTTTTAATTTATGTAAAGTATTAATTACAATAATTCAGATTTATTTTATATTAGGAAAAATTATGCTTAAATATTCATCATACATACATTTTTCTCTAAACAACATTACAATTATTTTCCTAGTTTTAATATGAAAATATAAATCATGATGATGATGATTTTTCCTCTATAAATGTTATTTTATTGTAAATTTTCACTATAATTGCATACATCTAAGTTGAAATTGTTTATGGAATTCAACACATTTATTGTAACCAATCAGTAACATCTAAATTTATAACTCTTGAAAAGATGTAGTGGTAGTTAGTTTATTAAAATCCTTAAGCGTTGACGTCACTATTTACCGTGGATTTATAATAGGAACTTCGGTTCATTGGATGTGTTACAAATGAAGCAGAGGGATTCTTATTTTTTCACCAAATTAATTTTATTATTTAATAAAACAATAGTAATTTCTGGTATGAATTTAGGACCTATAATGATTATTTTATCTTAACTTTTTATCAAGTTAAACTGATTTTAACGTTTCCTACAGCTAATTAAAACTTTTTAAATGCTAAATAAACTCCGAAAATATGTTTTGAATTATTAATTGAAATAAGCAATTTTGATACTATAAAATAATTTTATTTTAAAATTAAAAAAAAATCTATTGGTCATGTTTTTCGAGATTGGAAAGATGGATGGCCCCACTTTCCCACCATACTTCACCATATACATCACTACAGTGCATTTGTTCAATTAAGTTCTGCATTTGTTTATGTTTATCGGGATTCGGATGGGCCAACGACTAAAACGTCATTAAAACGCATTGTCATCGGGATTAGGTATGTGCTCAAAGTTTCGGTCTTATATCTGGGAGAACGAAGATGAGCCACACCCCTAAAACATTATTAAAATGTATTGTTTTAGAGGTTATATACGCGCTCAAAGTTTTGACCTTATAATTAAAGTATATGCAGTGTGAATTGCAAAAATTGAGGATACGATTCGAAGCGAGTTAAATAAAAACGTTTAAAAAAGAAAGGGGAAAAAAGCAAATTATGTTTAGTACGATCACACTTAAGATTTAACCCTCCAACAGAGGAAAAAACATTTATTTAGTAATTATAATTCGTTAAAACATTTTGCTCTTAATTTGTTTCATTCTATCAAGTAGTAATTTTCTTAACTACCAACAAACATTAATACTAATTTTTCCACGTTGCATAACTTGGAAATTAACAACGTCGCCGCTTTAAATCCTCGAATATTTTAAAAATAGTTTAGATATTTCGAAATATAAAATTTTATAATTTAATATAGCATCGGCGGAGAAAAGTTGCAACAATTTTACTACAACTACGGCGCATTGTATTAAATTATTAATGAAAGAAGTATTTGATTTGTCATTTATGACGGAATTTTTCGTCGGAAAATATAAAAATTCAATGTTGTTGTTAAATAAATTTTTTAAACTTTCTATTAAAATAATAAAGAATCCGTTTTTATCGAATCTCAATTTCTTCCCGACTGTAATAAAAAGCAAACAACAGAAGCAAATATTTATTGTAATAAAAATGGTATTTCGTACAATACGAAAAAATAATAAACCAAATAAATTTAATTATCTAATTTACAGGGAAAAGGAATAAAAAAAATTCGTTTCTTTCATTTTAAAAGCTTATTCTCATAATAGATGGTGACTTAATAGGGTATTCGAGTTATTCTTTAACAAGAAATATTGCACAATAAATTATTAACTGAATGAGATGTTAAATTATACATATATATTTTTACGACGCTTTATTAAATGCTGCGATTCATTCACAAGTTTAAACATTCCTAACTAATTATTTTTAAATACGTATATATTCTTATATATTCGGTTCAATACTAATACAACTTTAATTTTCTCTGCCCGAGATAAGTGCAGATTAATTAGAGAACATTACGATCGCATTAACATTCGCGTCAAGTTTGTTTCTACAAACTTAAAATTTTATGCATATTTTCCGAGTCGCCTTCATTTAAAGTTTAAACGCTAATTAGTTCGCACATACGACTCCATATAATCTTTTCTTTTTGTACGTTGCATTCAAATTACCACAAGTTATAAACCTGTTAATAAATACAATTATATAAAAATTTTATTTTTATATAAAATGATTCGAGATAATATATTTTTTATCTAATCAACAAACGATCCTTTTGTTCTATAACGATGCTTAATTTATACGGTTAAAGGTTTCGTCGAATTATCCAATGTGTGTCGACGTTCGACAATTTTATCGTATTAATAATCCGAATTGTTTTTATATTTTTACAAAAACATTTAAACGGTGGCAATTTAAAAAAAAAAAAAAAAATGAAAGTGAGCCGTAATTAAAACAATCGGTTTACGACAGACTGCGCATTCTCCGATGACGTCAACTTCCTGCGCATGCTTTTGATGACAATCGATCCTCCCTCACAAATGGCAGCCGAAGTTGTCTTTTGAACCGAAGTCAATCGAAAAACGGATAAATATGTCGATGACGGGAAACGATGGAATGGGATATCTTATCCCGATCGTAAATAAATTACAGGATGCCTTTACTAAACTGGGAGTTAGCTTGACCCTCGATTTACCTCAAATCGCCGTCGTCGGTGGACAGAGTGCGGGCAAGAGTAGTGTTTTGGAAAACTTTGTCGGAAGGTCGGACCCTTTTTTTTACCGTTTCTACTTCAAATTTACTTTATAAATTAATTATCGATCGCGTTCGTTTGTTTAGTGTCGATAACAAATAAATATATAACCGGTAATACGTAATTTTAATGGCTAATATTGATCTATATATTGTATGTAGGTCGCTTAACGTTGTGTGTCGGATCGGTGAATGAAAATATTTTGATTTTTTAAATATTTTTTATTTCCATATTTGAGATTTAATTAGTTTATTCGTCGGTCGGTGGTTTATTCTATTATTTTTTTCTGTTGATTAGAATTTAACGTGGCTAGGTAGGCGCATAGAGAATGAATGAAAGTCGTCTTGGTAAATAAACCACCCATTTGTTTAAGAATGTTTACAATTAGAGTCGTAACTTCGAATGTATCGATTCGAAAATTTTAAATATAAATTCGTTGACATTTAATTTAAAATCATAATTTATTTTCCGCTTACGATTTTTAAAATTTTAAATATTTAAAATAAATAATCAATTTCGTTTTTTTCTGAAAGTGATTAATTTTCTTCACCAATCAGAATTAAGCGCTTTATGTTTAATCCAGGGCTGTGGAGTCGGAGTCGGAGTCGTCAAAAAATCCGCCGACTCCGACTCCCTTTTTACTTACCAACTTGTTATGTACTGTATATTAAACGGAGTCGGAGTCGGTAGATTTTTACGCGACTCCACAGCCCTGGTTTAATCAGTTTCGATAAAACTTTAATATATTTACAGATTTTTCTATTATTTTAAATTCGTTTAAATATTTTCTGGAAAAATTAGCAAAATTAAAATTCGATATTAAGATGTAATTAAATTAAATAATTTTGTTTCTGTAACTGTAGAAAATTATCGCGTCTTATCAATAAATTTTATGTAGATACTATTACTGATATTATCTATTAAAATTGTATTGTGTATCTGCGCTGCCCGTCGCTCTTCTCCGACTGCGCTTAAATAACGACCGGACGACCGGACTTCGACGAAAAACTTTTAACGCGTGGCCTTTTTTATTAACTTTTCGAACGTTTTTGGCCGTGAAAATAAATTTCGTTTTATAAAAATCGGAGTCGTTCGATTTTTACTCCCGAAGGAGGTCGTTCGAATGGCCGAAAACGTTTGAAAAGTTAATAGAAAAGGCCGTGTTGCTTATCTGTTTTTAAGTTTATTATATTGTTTTCTGTTTTATATTTATACTAGCTGTACCCGGCCACACGTTGCTGTGGCTCAAAATTTATCTATTATAAATGTATAACACTCCCACTATTAAAATGCAGTCAAAAACGCAAAAAATCGCATATAAAATAGAATAATGGAAGACCAGTTCTTAAGCCTTTGATAAGCCTTAATTTTGTCCCTCTATCCCGCAGGGGGGAAATTTCGACGTCTATATAATATAAAAACGCACGCGTATTCGAATGCGACGTTGTGTCAAAATTTCAAAGCAATCGGTTAAGAACTTTTGGAGATTTAAAATTTTGAACAAACGAACATTTACATTTTTATTTATATAGATTTGTAATATATTTGATGGTTTTGATGAATTTTAGAATTAAATGTATACTTTAAATTTTATAAGGTTAGAGATATCTAGATTATTCGTGAACTAATAGGGGTATTCGAGATGGGAACTTTTCTGAAAAGCTGTGAATCGTGAACGTTTGTGTGGACCGGACAATGAAACGTCCTTACTACACCCGATACGTTTAAAGCGATACGTCGATCGAAGCCAAAATAATCGTCGATGGTTATTTCGTTAGCTTATACATGCTGGAAGAGGAGATCGGACCGAAGGTCCGGGTAGCTTAATTGGCAATGCATCTGCACGGTAAGCAGGAGTTGTGGGTTCGAGTCCCACTTCGGGCCTATTCTTTTCTTCCGGTAATTCTAAATTATTATTTAAATTATTTAATTAATTTATAATTATTAAATTTATCAAGAGATGGTGCCTAACTCTAATGCCAAATTGTCTGTTAAATTATTAGTATTATAGTCGTTTCTAGCTCAATAATATTCGGCTTTGGTTGATGGACCGGACAATTTCAAGAAAGTGACAGACCTAAAACTGTTTTGTATTGTCAAGTACGAATGTTGTAATTCTCGTTTTGTCTTCGTCGGATGTTTTATTGGTTAATGTTATTCTGTTTTAAGAGAATTATTTTCTGCCATTTCTTCGAGTTTATAAGTCCTACTGTCGATGGATTTCGATAATTGGCAAACGTTACTCCGAGGCAGCTTTCCTTTAAGCCAGTGGTTCCCAATTAGTTTTTCCTGCGTACCACTTCAAGAAACAGCTCAAACTCGTGTACTCCTTACAGCAGAAATTCATATTAATCCATATTAATATTATAAATTCGAAGGTAATTCTGTGTGTCTGTCTGTTACCTTTTCACACATCTAAACCACTGAACAGGTTTTAATAAAATTTGGCACAGAGATAGCTTACATGTTGGAGATGGCCATAGGCTGCATTTTACTGCAAGAAAATATCTTACTTCCACAAGAAAATTCGATATAATGCGAGCAAAGCTGTGGGTAGACGGCTAGTGATAAATAGAATAAGTTTTTTTACATTTATTACCTTTAAAATACAATTCTAATAATAATGAAAATAACATAAGGTTATTTAAATTTAATTCGATAAACGTGCACGATTTTCTTTGAACAACTTTGTAAAATCTGGTTGTTTTTTGGTCAGCTTTAGTCTTCTTCGAGTCGAAGTCATCTTCGAGTCAAAGTCGGTGACGATGTTTAGTTTTCGTGTTTGTCGTGGCCGAAAATCCGCTCTCGCAGAGGTATGTTGTGCAAAATGGTAGTAAATATTTTATTGCCACTTCACTGGCACGATAATAATGATAATTGTACAATGAACACAAATTGTGTTAATTGTACAATTTTTGTTTCTTGCATAAGAATTTCATTTAGGTATTGTCACAAATGCATTTTTTTGATGAAATTTCGAGAATATTTTTAGTTATAAATAAACTAATTTGTGCATTCGACACTGTTTTGTAAATTGCCGAATTTTTGATGGTCCATCCATTATTTTTTTGATTGCTTCATTTCACGCATTTAAATTTTAAATCGACCGATTTTAGATTGCCACACATACCCCTTCACACAATTTTGCGTACCCCGGGGGTATGCGTACCACTAATTGGGAACCATTGCTTTAAGCCAATTGTTTTTGCCATAAAACCTGTACTAATAAAGTCGCGTTCGAGAGAAGCAATGTTTTTTGTGACTTCTAAATAAGCTGTGATAGCCAGCATAGCGTAAAAACCTAAAGATCGTGAATATCCATAATATGTCTAAAAAGTTAATGTAATCATTGAATAGAATTTTCTGCAGTTAGAAAACAGTGTTAAAGATGATTTTCTAATAAAGAATAATGAAATATCTTAGTTTATACTAATATATTGATTATTTTTATAAATATATTTTTTGGAATAATGGGTAAATATGTAGCTCAAAAATTAACTTTTTAAATTACAGAATTATTGTTTCATAAGTTGAAATAAAAACATTACCTTATTCAAATTTCATTGAAAATATTTTATAAATTAATTAGGTTATCTGTCAGCTAACTTGTCATTGCATTTAATTATTTCAAAAATTTTGATTCATAGATAAAACTGGTTTTGAAATGAAATTAATTTAAGTTGTATCCAGCATCAATTGCCTGTTTTAAATCAGATGTTCTGGATTAGTGCTTAGGTCTTACTATATTATAATTCTTTAGAGGATTTTAATTTTGGTTTTTTACTGACCATTTCATAGTTTGACAAAATTCTTTGAACTATCATTTAATGGAATGTGATCAATAAATGAATTAAATGAGAGCATTATCTTATTACAAAATCCAATTAGTTAGTGGGTTTCTCAACAGTAGACATATATGGTCCTGAAATAGTTTTATAAATTTCAAAATTAATTTTTCCAAAAAAGCAAAAAAACTTTAGTTTTGGACTAAAACACTATATAGAAATTCAACTATTCTTATATGAGTCTTTAGTGAAATTTAAAAATTATTGCTATTTATAAAGTCTTTTAACTTAACAGATGAACATTTTTGGATTGTATTCCAGCTGCAGAATTTTCTTTTATTTAAATGCTTTTTTTAAAATAGTTTAGAAATTTTGCTTCAGTTAAGTTTCAAAATATTAAAAAAATCTACAGTACAATATGTTACATTTATGTTACATAAATGTAACATAGTGGTTTATGTTGTATTATGTTACATTTATAAACACTTCCTAAGAAGTGTTTATATATGTATATATCTAAAAATATGATTTTCTTTTTATATATGCTAATATGACGAGATTTTATCTATACCATATATCAGTATTCTGCTACAATTATAGGCCGTCTCTACTTGAGCAAAAGCTAAACAAAACAAAAAGTTCAGAAGTAACCATTAGCAGAACATTCTGCTTCAACAGTTTTCATTACTTTTCTTTTAGTTAGACCTGATTTACTTAAAAGTTTATCTTATTTTTTTTAACAGTTCCATCAATTTCTAAAATTATCCAAGACACAAATTTCTGTGTATATATTTCTTTTTTGATGCTTATTTTTTTATGATCAGCAAATTAAATTTTATTAATTTTACAGAGGAGGCTGTCTCTTTTCTTCTATCTAATAAGAGGAAGCTTCAGACTTTCTTACATACTATTCTGCAGAAAAGAGACAGCCTCCACTGTAAAATTAATAAAATTTAATTTTCTGATCATAAAAAAGAAATAAGCATCAAAAAAGAAATATATACACAGAAATTTGTGTCTTAGATAATTCTGGAAATTGATGAAATTATTGTGCATTGTGAGTGATGATAGTTATAGTACATTATTTAACAGTTCTTTCTTACCATTGGCTTATTAGGAAGAAGCTTATAGTATACCTAGTATATAAATTTGATAAACAATTTAATTGTTTGTCCAATTGTTGTCATACCATTTTACAATGGATATTTGGCCATCTCCTCATATG